GGGGGGTGAGGGGGGGTATATCTACTATGCAAACATCCGCGGGGAGGGCTCCACCTTATCTGCGAAAATAATACAAGGCTGATATAAAGGAACACTTAGACCTTGTCTCTGCAGGCGGCACACAGGACGATATCTCGCGCCTTTTTCTGCCCCTGAAATGCGCAATAACCGCCACGCGCAGCCGCAGTGTTATTATATGACAGTATATAGGGAACCCGCAGCGTTCAAGGAAGGCAATGCAGAAAACCGCTTAACGACGCTGCCACTGAGAATGCATCAAGAGCTTTGGGGCCACAAATGAAGCGCATTTGCTCATGCTTTTAATTGTGTTTTCAGCTCACATGATGTGTGCCTGGGTGCGGTACCAACCCAAGGGGCCGTGACGCATTATGCATTAAAAAATGCACCTTGCCACCAAAAAAACACAAAACTACACTTAACAATGGCAGGTGAACGTTAAGTGCGTTTTAAAAGCGTTTGCAAGTGGAAAGTCTATAATGCTCTTGTAGGCGTACACTTAGGGGTATATTTCTAAAGCAATGAGTCAGACATTCACTGCAAATGAATCTTCATGAGGCAGGTGTGTTAAATCACAGTGCTTGAGTCGCCCCCCAGTGAATGTTTGGTAAAAGTGGTTTATAGATATGCCCCCTTAAAGGAGAAGTATGGGGAGAGTAAAATATATTCTTCACAATACTTAGAGCCGGTGCTCCGTCGAGGTGGCCAACTCATCCAGATCTCCAACTCGTGACGTCACGTCCATTGTAGATTACGACGAGATGGCGCCACTGCAATCTTCGTTGACTTCTCCAGTTGCTGTAGGTGCGCCTGTGCGGGTTCTAAATTGTCATCGAGTTCTTCAACTCCCATCGGTGCTTGTGCCCTCGGGTGCCCACGCAGGCGCATTGCCGCAGATCGTAGAGCTTGACACTTCACTTGGGTGGCTGCGCAGGCGCACTGACGAAAGCTGGAGGTCTCGACGAGTTGGACAATTCGACAGAACACCAGCATTGGAAACTTGAACTTCCCCTCTCTGTCCCTCCAGTGCTCATTGGCAGGACAGACAGGGGAGGGGGCGGGCCTCTCTAGAGCCAGAGTTAGCTGTCAATCAGGCAGCCATGTCAATCTTGACAATATTTTTGGGATCCTTCCCGGCCTCAACGCGGTTCTGCGCTTGCAGCATGCTGCTCGCTATGTGCTGACTTGGGGTCACAGGAGCACATTAGTAAATCTACTCCTGTGACCCGAAAGGTTGTATAACGTGTATGTATAATCCAGTGGCGCCACAAGGGGGGTGCGGCCACACAGGTGACACCATTGGAGGGGTGACACCAAAATGACTGACAGCCATTTTGGTGTCACCCCCCTATGAAAAGTCGGGCACTCGGTCAAAGACCGAGAGCCCGACAGTTGTTAGAGAGGATCCGGCGGCATACCTTATCCCGCCGGGTGACGTCCCCTCCTCTCTCTGCCGGCGTCCATCACCAAGATCGCCGCCGGCAGGTAACAGCGGTGCCATGCGGGACGTACACGCGTGATGACGTCACACATGGCACCGCTGTTACCTGCCGGCGTCCATCACCAAGATCGCCACCGGCAGGTAACAGCGGTGCCATGCGTGACGTCATCACGCGTGTACGCGATGACAACACTGCGGAGTGTCACCCGGTTCCCGCACCGGGTGTCACCCGGTACCCGCACCGGGTGTCACCCGGCCACGGGACGCCTCTGTTATAAACAAAGCCTTTATTCCATTTTGGATGCAGTAGGGAAGTTGTCACGCTTATATCGCTATTTGTGTCCTCAGTAGGTAGTTTCAAGTGATGGGGAATTCAGTTTTAGGGAATGATTTATAAATCTTCCCTGCTATATGTTCGCACGGCATTCCCACCACTAGATGGAGCTCCTCGGCTGGTGCAGAGATATAACAATGGCAATAGCAGTACTAATCGGAATGCTGGAAGTACAAAACAGGATGGTAATAAATGGATAATAATCATATGAAAGAATAGTAATCATATCCGTGACAATGAAATAATAACAATAACAAGCAATAAAAGCCGCACCCATCATTCCTCATGCTCCCCGAGACTGGAAACAAAAGCTTTGGCTGGAATTCTATTATCGTTCACAACAACGTATAGAAAACAATACAAATCCAACAAATGATCCGGATACATTGTATCGGAGCGGGGTCACGGATACGGAGCGGACGCGACGTCATGGAAACTCCAGTTATTGTGAGAATTATGGGTCAGCAGTCTGTCTGGTGTCTCTGTTTGGATGGAAATGAAAGTTCTGATTTATGACTGACACATAATACCCCGAGTCACAGATCCTGACACTTCAACATGACTTACAGGGATACGTTGCTGCTGAGCCGGGGATTTCAGCAGACAGGATAGTCTAGCAGGACAGCAAAACATCATTATATATATACCAGGGGTTGGCAATCTCTGGCCCTTCAGCTGTGTTAAAACCACAAATCCCATCATGCAGTTTGACTACCCCTGATATACACAGATATTATGCATATTAAAGCAGAACTCCGGGGGAAGCAAATACAAGAGATATGTATTCTTCCTTGAATCCTGGTATACTTTGTGTATTTATACTGTATCTATATTCTTCTGATCTGTACAGTAATCTGGTGTGACATTTGGCACTTCCTGTATCAAAGACCGTTCACTGCTGCTCTCTCTCCTTGTGCAGGGTGACTGGTCTTGTCTCCGCCCCCACCTGTAATAAAGACTGGTCACTGCTGCCCTCTCTCCTTGTGCAGGGTGACTGGTCTAGTCTCCGCCCCCTCCTATAATAAAGACCGGCCACTGCTGCTCTCTCTCCTTGTGCAGGGTGACTGGTCTTGTCTCCGCCCCCTCCTGTAATAAAGACTGGTCACTGCTGCCCTCTCTCCTTGTGCAGGGTGACTGGTCTAGTCTCCGCCCCCTCCTATAATAAAGACCGGTTACTGCTGCTCTCTCTCCTTGTGCAGGGTGACTGGTCTTGTCTCCGCCTCCTCCTGTAATAAAGACCGATCACTGTTGCTCTCTCTGTAGGCTGAATATCAATAGATGCCCCAAGAGGACTTTTTTTTAACCTACTGGAAGTCAACTTGCCCTGGTGGCAAATAAAGGTGCCCAAGGGTGGTCAGAGAGTGATGGTATATCTGACACCAGTCTGGAGTCTGCGGGGCACCTTAAGCATCTACAAAGTATAGACAGCGTCCATCCATCCATAGACTGCGAACGATTGTGCTACAAATGTGCAACTTTGTATTTGGTGATGTTGGTTGCTGTGCCCATGGAGGAGGAGGAAGGTGGAGCGCTGCAGGTGCCAGGCTGTCTGAGGGTAACAATAGTGAAGATCCATCTCAATTGATTGTCTTTCCCCTGAGCCGGCTCGGCCAGATTACATCGTCCAGGATGGAGGGAACTACAAACATACAAGTGTACATGCAAGAGAGCTGTGTAGGCTTTCACTATGCTTCTCTGTTTCATGGGAGCAACTGCTTCATTTACAAGACATCTGGCACCATCTACTGGCCACATACAGGTTGTACATGGATAGGCAAGGTCGGCTCTGGTTAGTGGGTAGGATAGCAAGGACGAAGGCTGAAATCTGTACACTGTACATGAGAAAAGAAACATTGGAGTTCTCCAGCAGAGCAGAGTATCTCAGGAGAGCAGAGTTATAGAGGAAGGAGCAGAGTCCTCCAGCAGAGCAGAGTATCTCAGGAGAGCAGAGTTATAGAGGAAGGAGCAGAGTCCTCCAGCAGAGCAGAGTATCTCAGGAGAGCAGAGTTATAGAGGAAGGAGCAGAGTCCTCCAGCACAGCAGAGTATCTCAGGAGAGGAAAGTCATAGAGGAAGGAGCAGAGTCCTCCAGCATAGTATTTCATGAGAGGAGAGTTATAGAGGAAGGAGCAGAGTCCTCCAGCAGAGCAGAGTATTTCAGGAGAGTTATAGAGGAAGGAGCAGAGTCCTCCAGCAGAGCAGAGTATTTCAGGAGAGTTATAGAGGAAGGAGCAGAGTCCTCCAGCAGAGCAGAGTATTTCAGGAGAGTTATAGAGGAAGGAGCAGAGTCCTCCAGCAGAGCAGAGTATTTCAGGAGAGTTATAGAGGAAGGAGCAGAGTCCTCCAGCAGAGCAGAGTATTTCAGGAGAGTTATAGAGGAAGGAGCAGAGTCCTCCAGCAGAGCAGAGTATTTCAGGAGAGTTATAGAGGAAGGAGCAGAGTCCTCCAGCAGAGCAGAGTATTCCAAGTAGAGGAGTCATAGATGCTCCTAGCTTACTTTTTTTAATTGTTTATTGTCGATTGAGTTGTTTGTGTTACACATGGGCACACGAGAAGTTTCAGCTCTCATACCAGAGTCTGGACACCTTGTACTATTATAGGAGAGGGAGGAGTGGTCGGCCCAGCACACGCAGGTCACTGCAGACCCCACAATGGTTGGAGTAGGAGCACACGGCGCTGCGTGCAGCTTTCACATACATTTGCACTTCTATGCATCATAGACCTTTGTTGTTGTTGTTGTTCTATACTAGCAGAGCGGAGGGCTAGTATTGTTTTCGGAGCCATGTGGCTCCTTGTCAGGAACCGGGACTGAGCTCTTTCTGTAACCACTGTATGGTCATGGCCCTTAAAGCAAACCGGTCTCTGCAGGTGGGCAGAAATTCGGACCAGATGCCGAATGGTACGACCTGCTCTAAAATTTGTCACTGCGCTGCATACGCCCCCATAACCGTGGGCACCTTAGGCAGGGGTAGGCAACTCCGGCCCTCCAGCTGTGCTTGAACTACAAATCCCAGCATGTCACTGCCTCCGGGAGTCATGCCTGTGGCTCTTTAAGAGTCTTGCAATGCCTCATGGGATTTGTAGTTCCGCTGGAGGGCCGGAGTCGCCCACCCCTGATCTATATTATGCAATCTTCTGGTTTCAGCAGTGGTAGCTCTAAGGCAGTGGTGGCGAACCTTGGCACTTCAGCTCTGCCAAAACTACAAAACCCCAACATGCATCTGCCTCTGGGAGTTATGTCTGTGGCTGTCAGAGCCTTGCAATGTCTCATGGGACTTGTAGTTCCAAAACAGCTGGAGTGCCAAGGTTCGCCACCACTGCTCTAAGGCCTAAGCTCCAGCCCATCCCCACAATGCAATGCACGTTGCCTTCCAGTCGGTCGCCAAGGATCCGCGAAGCATTGCACAGTGCGCCTACAAAGGATGGAACCAGCCCACCCCTGATCTATAGTATGCAATCTTCTGGGTTCAGCAGCAGTAGCTCTAAGGCCTAAGCTCCAGCCCATCCCCACAATGCAATACACGTTGCCTTCCAGTCTGTCGCCAAGGATCCGCGAAGCATCGCACAGTGCGCCGGGGTTGTTCCTGAACGCCTACAAAGGATGGAACCAGCCCACCAGAGAGCACAACCTGATGTTGTCTGTAACAGACGACGGAGCACGAAGCTTTTATATAATCTTTTAACTTTGTTATTTGAAAAGAAATGATTTTGCACTTGTTACAATTTTATTTCTCGAGTCCTTCCCCTTTAAGAGGAGTATTTATGGTTGCGGTTGCACAATTGAACAATGAGGAGAGGGAAGGAGCGCTTTGTGGACGTGGTATGCGCATAGTTTAGCTTTCCCAGGAGGCTCCTAGCAACACAAACAAGCGCCGACAGTCACCTCATTCACCACTCCTGTGGAGAATGCAATCACAATGCAGTGACCGGGAGCAGGGGGTGGCATGAATGGCAGCCCTTCAGAGCCAGGGTACTACAGCGTCCAGCATGCCCAATATTTGATCTGCAGCAAATACATCAATAGGGTCTTGCAATGCCTCATGGGACTTGTAGTGCTGATGTGGCCTATCCCTGGGGCACACCAAGTCCCACACCGTCCAAACATAGGACAACCCTCAGCAGACTTCTGGACAATGACTCCAGTCGTAGCGTTTCGTAAATACCGATATACGGCACTGCTGGGAAAAGCGCTAGCGAGGGACCTGGGGGTAGGGGGGGAATTAAGACCCCGTTCACCCTGGGGCGGTTCGGCCGCACGGATGCACCCGACATGAACGATCCCATACATTGCTATGGGGGACGTTCATGGGTCCCCGCGATACGAACTGCTCCCTGCACTATATTTGCCGCGCTGATCAGTGCGGGTTCCACACAGGTGTCAATGGAACCGCACTGATCAGCGCTGT